GCAGACGGGGGTCCCGTCCCCGCCCGGCGCGGCCTCCACGGCGCCGTCCTCCCGCCGCAGGTACCAGTTCAACCCGGCCTTCTTCCAGACCGCGGTGACGGCGCAGATCCTGCTCAAGGCGCTCACCAACCTGCCGCACACGGACTTCACCCTCTGCAAGTGCATGATCGACCAGGCGCACGTATCCTCTCCACCCCCGTCTGGGGGGSCGGTTTTGGGGGGGCTGCATTTGGGGGGGGCGGCTGCGGGCTCCTTTGGGCCCCGTTCCCGTGTTCCCCTTGACCGCTCGGCCGCAGCAGGAGGAGAGGCCCATCCGGCAGATCCTCTACCTGGGCGAGCTCCTGGAGACCTGTCACTTCCAGTCGTTCTGGGTGAGTTTCCCCCTTGGAGCAGCCTTGCGTGGGACGGGGGGGTGGTCTGTGGCGTGGGGGGGGCACCGTTTCCCACCCTGCCTGCCGTGTTTCCCCTCCGCAGCAAGCCCTGGATGAGAACATGGAGCTCCTGGATGGCATCGCCGGCTTCGAGGACTCCGTGAGGAAATGTGAGCGGGATTGAGGGGGCCGAGGGGTGTTTGGGGGGGCGGGGGGGGGGTCTTCTTCCCGCAGTCATCTGCCACGTGGTGGGCATCACCTACCAGCACATCGACCGCTGGCTGCTGGCCGAGATGCTGGGCGACCTCTCGGGTAAGGCGGGCGCCGAGGGGAGCGGGGACCCCCGCGGGGCCGAGGCCTGACGCCCCCCACCCCCCCGTGCACCCCCTCCCCGCCGCAGACGCCCAGCTCAAGGTCTGGATGAGCAAATACGGCTGGGCGGAGACGGAGCCCGGCAAGATCTTCATCTGCAACCAGGAGGAGAGCATCAAGCCCAAGAACATCGTGGAGAAGATCGACTTTGACAGTGGGTGCTGGGCGCGGGGGGGCTGTTGGGGGGCTGTTTGGGGGGGGTGCGGGTGTTATAACCCTCCTCTTCCTCAGGCGTTTCCAGCATCATGGCCTCGTCCCTGTGAGCGCGGCRCTGCTGGCGCCGGCCCCCTGTTTTAATCGTCCCGCCGCTCGTCACGCTCCGCGCCGGCTTCCAGAGGCTCCTTGACCGCTGTGTCGGGGGGTGCGCGGGGCGGCGGGGGGGACCCCAAATGTGTCCGACGGGACCCCCCCAAAGCGCCTGGTTATGGGGCTGGGGGGTGTCTTTCCCCTCCCCGCTTTTGGGGGCACCCATGGGGGTTTTGGGGGGGGGAGGTGTTSTGTTTCCCAAGCCCTGCCCTCCCTCATGAATATTAATAGAGGGGCTCCCCCTTCCCTCCCTGTTTTGGGGTGTCCCGTGTGTCCCCCCCCCCATCCATGCTGGCTCTTCCTGATCACCTGGGCGCTGTTATTAAATATTGACCATCGTGGGAAAAACTCGAGCTCTTCAGTATCGGCAGCGCGCGCTGCTTCCCTGGCCACGCCCCTCATGAATATTCATCGCCGCCGTTTAAGCGCATAGGGAGTCTSGGGAGGGGGAGCTGCGCGCATGCGCGTCGCCCGCCCCAGGGCGGGAGGGTCGGGYGCGCATGCGCGCGTGGCGGGCGGCTACGCGCAGGGCAGAGCGGCGCATGCGCGTGGGGAGGTGG